CGTCTGGAAGTCTTTGAAGTTTTGTGACATTAGACATTTATCATCATCACCTCCTCAGATTACTAGCTTGCTAGTTTTCTAGCCGGTCCCAAACCCGGATAAAGAGGGAGGGTTGGGGCGTGGTGCTAGCAACTCCACCCCTAAAACTCATTCAAACCGCTACAGAAACTTCAACGAATAAATATATTAAAAATTCTAAAAACATAAGCAATAGCCTTACTTTTCGCTGGAATCGGGGAAGTGAAATGACGCAGGCTGGTGAAAGCCTTCGGGAAGCCAGTCAGCCGATGTGCCTTCTTTCGATGAAAGCAAAAGTAAGGATGGGTACCTGGAATGTTCGTACAATGTACGAAACTGGAAAGGCTGCCCAGATAGCCGCTGAAATGAGAAGGTACAGAATAGAAGTGTTGGGAATCTGCGAAAGCAGATGGAACGGAACTGGAAGGTGCCAACTACCTACTGGAGAGACAGTAATCTATTCCGGCCACCCAGAGGACAACCACGAGCACACCGAGGGAGTGGCCATCATGATGTCACCAACAGCAACCAAAGCTCTCATGCAGTGGGAACCAATCTCCTCCAGGATAATGACAGCCAGGTTCAACTCAAAAGGAAGGAAAGTTACAGTCATTCAATGCTATGCGCCTACAAACGTCTCAGAACAAGAGAAGAAGGAGGCGTTCTACAGACAACTACAAGCAATAATGGACAACGTCCCAAATGGCGATATCAAAATCCTGATGGGCGACATGAATGCGAAGCTGGGAGGAGACAACACAGGAAGAGAACTCACCATGGGTCGTGAGGCCCTCGGTGAAATGAACGACAATGGTGAACTCTTCTCAGACTTCTGCGCCTTCAATGATTTGGTGATTGGTGGTAGTGTGTTCAAACACAAGGATATACACAAGACGACATGGATTTCACCAGATGGAAACACCAAAACCAAATAGACTTCATCTCAATTTCAAGAAAGTGGAGACGGAGCCTACTGGACACAAGGTCAAGGAGAGGAGCAGATGTGGGTTCAGACCACTATCTAGTAGAAGGGACTTTCAAGGTGAAACTAAAAGCCTCGAGGATAGCTGGGGATAGGCCACAATGCAAGTTCAACACTCAATTACTGAAGGACACAACCACAAAAGACACCTTCACTGCAACTGTCAGAGCAAAGCAGGAAACACTACGCGACATCACTGAAGAATCATGCGTGGAAGAACATTGGAAGTCTCTGAAGGCGATTCTCAACGAAACGTGTTCAACGGTTCTAGGAAGAAAGAAGAGACAAGACAAGGAATGGCTCTCAACGGACACTTGGAAATTAATAGAAGAGAGGAGAATGGTGAAAGAGAAAATGATTCAATGCAAGGACGGACAGGAGAAGGAGACGCTGAGCTCAACTTACAAAGCACTGGACAAAGAAGTGAAGAAGAGTGCTAGGAAGGACAAAAGACGATTCTACGACAACCTCGCCACTGAAGCTGAGAAGGCAGCAGGCAAAAGGGACCTGAGGACACTATATCAGATAACCAAATCTCTATCCGGGAAGAGACCAACACAAGCGAAACCTATAAAAGACAGCCAAGGGAACCCAATTACCAAGGAAGAAAAACAGATTAAACAATGGGCGGATCACTTCAAAGGACTCTTGAACCGACCATCACCTGCAACCCGTCCAGAAATACCAACAACAGCGCACACAACTGCAAGTTGACACCAATCCTCCAACGAGAGCTGAAGTCTTGAATGCAATCAAGCTTCTGAAAGCTGGAAAAGCAGCCGGACCAGATGGAATACCCCCTGAAGCACTGAAAGCGGACCCAGAGACTACAGCAGACATGCTGACTCCATTATTGCAAAAGGTCTGGAAGGAGGGAAAGGTGCCTACTGACTGGAGGAAAGGTTACCTCGTGAAACTACCAAAGAAGGGCGACTTAGCCTCACTCTGCAAGAACTGGCGAGGAATCATGCTCCTATCGACGCCAAGTAAAATCCTGAGTCGCATCATCCTGGAGAGATTAAAGGACGCACTGGAGACAGAACTCCGACCAGAACAAGCTGGATTCAGGAAAGGCAAATCATGTACTGACCAAATTGCAACTCTACGCATCATCATCGAACAAAGCATGGAATGGCAATCAAACCTCTACCTCAACTTTATAGACTTTGAGAAGGCCTTCGACAGCGTTGATCGTGAAGTAATTTGGAAATTACTCGAGTACTATGGCGTACCCCAAATATTCATCAACCTTATTCAACAGCTGTACGACAACGGCACATGTCAAGTGATCCACAACGGAAAACTCAGCGAGGCGTTTGGAGTAAACACAGGAGTCAGACAAGGCTGCTTATTATCACCAATGATATTCCTAATTGTGGTGGACTGGATTATGCGTCAGACAGTGGGAAACGAGAAGACAGGGATATCCTGGACCGACGTGAAGAACCTAGAAGACCTGGATTTCGCGCGGATGATTTATGTTTGATGTCACACAAAATCGAAGACTTACAAGTGAAAACCGACAAACTGGTCGAAGAAGTAGAAGAGAAGACAGGACTCCAGGTGAACATAGACAAGACGGAGGTTATGAAAATAACCAACCAACAACAACAGCAACATCCAGCGCGAATCACCATCAACGGGAGGGATTTGAAAGAGGTTACTTCATTCACTTATCTAGGGAGCATTATCTCAACTACAGGCAGACGGAACGGACGAGGATGTCAAATAGAAAACCGGAAAGGCGAGAAACATATCCATTAACCTGAAACCAATCTGGAAGTCTTCGTCACTCAACCAGCATCAACAACAAAATTGGTCGGATTTTCAATACAAACGTCAAGTCAGTCAGCTCTTCTATAAGGATCAGAAACTTGGCGGGTGGGTTACAAAGAATATTTCCAACAGACTGTTGCAGACCTTTATCAACCAACAATTGTCTTCGCCCTTTACTGAAGATCAGATCAGATGGCCGGAAATAATCACCAACAAGGAATTATGGGAACAAACAAAGCAAGAACCAACCACCCAACAAACATGCAGGAGAAAAGGGAGATGGATCGGACACTCACTGAGGAGGCCGCTGGGTGACATGGCGCGCCAAGCCCTCGAGTGGAGCCTGAAAGGGAAGCGGCGAGTAGGACGTCAGTGCAAGGGTGACATGGAGGATATCGTGTGAAGAGGAGTTGGAGAATATGGACTAACATGGATACAGGTGAAAAGTACAGCAGAAGACAGAAGTAGTAAGTGGAGACGTGCGGTTGAAGCCCTATGTTCCACTAGGAACGCCAGGGAGCAATAATAAAATAATAATTATCGGCGGTTCAGCATATTCGTGTCTCCTCACTCTCCACTATCTGATGCATAATCCACTCACAGATTTTGCAGTATACACTTAAATACAGCATTTCATTTTCTAAGTTTTTTGTGAATAAACTTATTTGCTTTCATGCACTTATTAAAAGATACTCACTGATTAACAATAAATTCCAGTTAACGATGTGGCTCTTGATATTCAACAATTGATTCATTTGAATATTCATTATGATGTGAACTCACAGACCTCCTAGTTTGTTTGTTTTTCAGAGAGAAGTAACGAAACAGATCTACAGCAATAGATTACATTGACCTTTACATTTTGTTTAACATTTTATTATCCATAACTCTTCGATATCACTTTTTAAACACCTCTTTTTTTGGTTCGCATACTCATACAGACATCAGTTTTAATCATCATTGAAGGGGACACAAAATTTAAGATACTCAATCAATCATCCAGAGGAAGAAAAGATTTCTTGGCTAATTAAAGTAGAAAAAGGGAAAATGTGATTCAAGTAATGCTTAAAGATCAGAAATAATTTCAGTCAAATAACTAACACTAATTGTATTAACCAAATGATAATAATTAAATTAAATCTTGGCAAGTTCATCATCAGAAATGAAAAAATGACTAGTTTCACACTTATTTCTCTTATAATAAAAGATATTAAGGCGATAAACAATAGTTGTTAGTATACTCTGTGTGTGTGAATATTTTTATACCTGCTCAGTTTCCACTGTCTTTTATTAGAGGAAGGGAGGAGCAAGGCGCTGTTCCACCTGAATAATATTATAAGAATAGTTTCTACAAAAATTTGAGTTGATTACGAAGACATGGGCATGCATAGAATATGCTGTCTATTGTTTTTCGTATTTATTAGTTTTCTACATATTAATACTAGGAGAAATGAAAAAAAATAGGATATGCTGATATATATTTGAGGAGTTAGTCTTTTATTGAACACCAGGTATAAAGTAATTAACGTCATCTATCTAGTCCTTTTTTTCGTGGAGACTGAATTCTATCAGTCAAGCCTACAATATGGCCACCATGCCAGGTGGCTCACCGTCACGGTACACTCCAAAGTGTTGGCGTTAGTGACGACATGGGTCTGAATCTCAAGGGGGACATAAGTTCCTTCATGGTTGCAGATACGCCATACTGACAAGTGCTAACAGGCGTGAAAGTCAGGTCTATGGCTTCCCGTCAGTTGCCTCAAACCATCCAAAATAAAGTTATTCCTCTTTGTTATAACTATTGAAGTTCAACTTTCAATAAAGCTTTATACTAACTCCTAATAATTAGCATGAACTCCACTTACAATTATCTGAAAGATATGTTGTCAGAACTTAGTTATCGGTAGTAGGTTTTCCATCTGCCTGACTAAGAGTCCCATTTGTTGTGTGATAGCTGATAATATATGCGGCTGCTTAAGATGAAGTTGATGTTTTAGAATTTGAATCCAGGGCCAGTTGACTGAAATTTAAGCATTCAGTCAATTAAGCCGCGTCTCTACTTCAAGGGATTAATTTACTTTTGATAATAATAACAGTGAAATTCAGAGTTGTTGTAACTACTGATTGTTATAAGTGCTTTACTGGATTTCAGAGAAACCATTTACATAATACTTTTTTACCTTTCAAATTAACTAAGTGGCTTTATTTATTGAATAAATTTTAGATGCCCCGCTAATGTTACAATTTCCGTTGACTCTGGAGGTCTTCATGAAGATGATTCCAGTGGACGTCAAGAAATGGTGGTATACGCACGTGCAGGTGAAACAAAGACGTTTACGTGTAAAACAGCTCCATATTATGGTCAGGCAACAATAAAATGGTTATTTCAAGCATCTGGTAATAGTATTACTACACCACCTAAACAGATTATGGATAAAGCTGTTACATTTAAAACACCAGATGGTGAAAGTACATATCAAGAATCACAAATTCAAATTAATGTTCGTGCAGAAGATGACAGAAGTTATATAGACTGTTTAGTATGGAGTGTTGGAGATGCACGTATTGATGCTAGAGTCCGTCTAGATATTATCTGTGAGTTGTTTTTCAAAAGAATAAATATTTTTTCTCTCAGAGTAACATTGGAAAAGGAATAAATCATTAACTTTCATAATTTTCTAAGAGAGAATAGTATCATTTAGTTTTACACTTACTGTCCAAGACGACTATAAGACAAATCACCTGTGAAGTCTTTTAATTTCTTGGATCATGAGACCAAGACGTCAGTTATGCTGTAACAGATAGTAAAACAGTATGTGCAACTGCCCAGTACCAAATAGATTGCCACAAACATCCGAAACTTACATAATTTGAGAAGAAGCAAATTCATGCATTCATTTTTGCTAAATACTGGATGGTCTTGAAAGACTGGATGAACAATATCATAGTATAAGAGGCTAATCAGTTATCATTCAAACTCAACCTTCCCTATTTATTAACAAAGAGATTTGATATAAACTTGATTGATACTCAGATACTCGTTTTATTTCATTCTAGTATCATTTCAACTAATCCCTGAGGTCAATTTTATTCTAGTTATAAATACTTACTTCCTGTATAAAGTGTCGGTGGATTAACGATGGTTGCGTGAGAATTGTTGAGAGAAAATCAGTTTGGCTTCCATATACAAAATAAGAAGGTCAACTCTCAGATAGTAACTTGTGTGCACGAAATCGAGTAGATCAACTGATCATAAGGGTAACAGAAACGTTCAACTAAACGAACCTATTGACATCTGGTCAACCATAAAAGTACTTTGTATTTATACAAAGTAAAGTTAAGTAGCCCAAATCACAGTGACGTTGAACAATCATTCAGTATTCAAACGCGAAAATTTTGCATAAATCATCAAAAACATTGCAACGATAATATGAATGTAAGAATATCTCCCAGCAATTTCCAGGATAATCTAAAGAAAATCATACCATACACAGTAGATATATTCATTCATGTCAATGCAAATATTGGTGTTTCAGGATCCACTGATATTCCTGACTCTGTTCTGTAATCTATCTCAGACACTACCTAACAGAATAGTTCTTGATGTGGTTGTGTTCTCTGAGCTGGACGGTTTGAAGTATACGATGAAGAAGTTACCTAGTAGGGCAGTGAAATCTTCGCAAATAAAATGTCCAGCTCAGAGAACACAACTGCATCAAAATTATCCACCTTAGCTACAAATCTCCACCATATCTAACGGTATAGATTTACTTAGTCTTCATAGGGCTCACCAATTCCATGAGCGTAAACAGATGGCATTTTGGAGAGTTCTCTTAATCTGACTGGTTCTTGAAGGGCAACGTTTGATTGACTTTGACCTCGGCTATTATAGTCCAACTTGCCCTTATTTAACTTACTCAAACATTCTGATAGAATCATATAGTATGGATGAACGAAATTCATTCAACTGCAGATACATTTTGAGAACTCTTTGGATATCTTCGATCATAAAATTTACACAGGCTATTTAGATGGGCATACCTTTTTTATCTTTATTACCTCTTTATATTTCTTGCTTGGTAATACCTACATTCTTGAAATAAACCATCTTTTGCTGAATAGAACGCTACTTGGTTAACGTTTGAATGTTCCTTTTCTTCCCTTCTGCATGTTCGATTAATCTCATTCAACTCAAAACGAAGATATGTTAACGTATGTTGTAATTATTTCTTCTAATATGAAGCTTTTTAGGCCTTTGGAGACTGAATATGAGAAGTATGTAGAAAGCTTACAATAATGATATCCTGTTCACTGTGACAAAAAAATGCGTTTTTAAAACACTTCTCAAGTCGTTATTGCTGTTGTTGTTTCTGTTTTTTTTAACTTCCCAGTTGTTAAAATTTAATAACAGGGTAGGTGATATTTAAACTGAATACCAAGTATTTGTAATCGCCTATATAATTATTATTTTGTTTCCCGGTGTTAAAATAAATTCCACCAAGTGAAGTTAAATAACACAACTCACGACTACTACTGATTAGCTGAATATTCACTTTAGTTGAATAAATTTTAAATTGATGCTCAATGGTTAAAATTAGTTGAAAGCAATCGAAATGGCATCTGATAGTTCACGTTATAAGGCTTTATAAAAATACAGAAGGGCAGGGAAGCATTCTTGATCATCTGAACTGTTTCTGCGTAATGTGCTCCTTAAACATTACTACTGGTTTTTTGCTAAAGGGACAGTCAATCACAGTCATCTCTATTTATACTAGTTTGATGAACGTATAATTTGGCAAAAAGCAGAAGAGACCACTTACCAATGCTTAGGCCAAACTAAAAAATATTGTGTAATACGGATCGTGTAGTAATAACCTGATACAATTAGGCTAAATAAATTTACGCAATGAAACGTGAAACTTGCATGAACGTTAGCGGAATACACAATGAACGCAGTATCGTAGAATGTCGTAGGTCACATGTACTTATGCACTTTCTGCAACCTCATGATTCTGTCAATACCGGCTTCGAAGCAAATGCGACTTAACCAAGTAAAGCTAAAGTTCATGAGATTATTGGACATCTCAGTGTCAAAACTAGTCCGCAAACGGTTATCCGAAACCTGTTAAAGCCTACTATAAAATTTTCTGTGAGTTTACTTTGAAAGATACCTCTGATTTCATTAAATTTCTTCATAAAGTTATTATAAAAGATAAAACCATGTTTTATCTTGATGTTGATTATTCATTTACAAGCGTAACCCTGTTAAAGACAACTGAAATTCTATGAAACTACATTTCCAACAGTAATTTCTCATTGCCAATCTCTACATCTTATTTGAAAGAGTTACCACTCTGATGTTCTCAGAATGCTTAATTTACATTTTGGACAAGTATTTCCGCTAGATCGATGGTGGTGCTATAGAAAGTACCTTAAGTCCTTAAGTTCAACTGATACATACATGTCACATATTGGGACCTAGCTAGGGACCTAATTGGAAATATTTACTTCTAGAACAGCTATGTTGGTGGTATAATGGCCGTTTGTGATAAACCAACGGATGCCACAGAAATCTGTAACCGGATAACTATAGTACAAAATAGCACCCTGTTAACATAGGTGGAAGAATATAACGATGTATTCATAACTCACCGTCGTGATGAGTCAATAAGACGATCTATTTACAGGAAGCCCACGTGAACAGGGCAGTATCTAAATTATCAAAGTTTCTGTCCACCCAGTGTAAAAACTTTTTATTTGACTGCTTGTTCAGACCCATTCAATGTATGGAGAAGAAACACGAAACCTCACTTAAATATTGTTAGGTAACAAATGTCGACTGAAATTTGTTAAACGTTACGGAAGTTTCATTCAAAAGGCCTGACTGGTCCAGTCAGCTTCCAATAGGGGTGTTTGTATATCCTCACCGTTCATTGGGTGATAAACAAAGTCTGATCATTAATCAGAGACTCTGGGAGGTACTTAATATAACTTACTCTTCAGTCAAATTTATTTCCATAGAGAAAACAAGATCTGTGTTTTCCTGCGAACTCTTACAGCATCTAGACGATTGTGGTACATCTCACTGTATTTACCAATTAACAGGTACGTGTGGTCACATTTACATATGGAGAACCCGAAGTTCTTTGCAGTTTAGGGCTACAAAACACATTCCAAATTTGCCTCAACAACAAATAAAGTTACCATATACAACTAACCCTGGAAATAGATGTCCAATATCAACTATCGCAAAGCATATCACAGAGGTCACAAGGTTAATTTTAATAGTGCCTTTGAACCCATTTATAAAAGAGGATTGAGTCATATACCTAAATTCGTTGAAGCGTTGGTCATAAAAACGCCGAAAGCTGTTTTATGTGTTCAAAAACAATTTGTCACTGCTCTGAAACTGCCTTGGTAATCCAATTTCAGAACCAATGTTCAATTCGCCTTATAATATTTCCACCCTACAAAATGCTGAAAATTTCTATTTACCGAATAACTCAAACAAAAGCTCATGAAATCAAATGAAAATTAGGAAGATAAACATAAAATCGTCACTTTAGTTTGATACCTCTTTCTGAGGGAATATAAGCTTCTCAAAATAAACCGCAGTTTTATAGAAGTGAATCACTAGTTATGGTTTTAGCCAAAAATGGATGCAAATAATGTAAATATTTTCTGTGTATTGATCGTATCATTAAAAATCAATGAATTAAAAATTTACTTTCAGATCCTCCTGATGTGCCTAAAATTACCGGTTATAAAAGTGAACAGCCAATTAATATGGCTCATCTTCTGGAGTTAACGTGTACTACTAAGAGTGGGAATCCACGACCTGAACTACAATGGTTTAAAGGTAAGTATATATTTCATCATTTTTGAACAATCAGTTTTGATAATAATATAATAATAACATGAAAAACTAGAAATCGCGTCCAACAGTGCGATCAATCACTTATACAGACAATGCAAGTTTCCAGTGCAAAACAAGTACTGTAAAATAAAATTAACTAACCAGGATTCAACTGTAAGGTTCATCTTAGGATCATGTAGATCACTGTATGGTAGGCAAGAGTCACACACACCAGTGCTTCCCGCGGACGGTCCAAGGTCTGAATGACCTCTGATTCACTCAAACAAAATCACATTGTAAAATAACAGATTATTAACGTATCGCACAATCACAATGAGAAGCATTCAAACGTTGAGATTCAACATGGACAAAAATGAATTCAACTTATGATATGCAAATATCAGTATAATGAAATGCAGTCTAGGAGACAGACGGATAACAATGATAAAGTTAGCCGGAACATCCAAATAATTATAAATATTGTGATTAGATGGTTCAGGAAGGATTTTCAAAACAATTATTCTTTTATATAGACATAAACTAACATCAGGTCTTGTTGAAGGTTTCCTTGAAGAAGTGAATCAACGAAATCCCGAACTATAAATCGAAATATAATATTTTATGTTGTTTTCTGCCTCAAAAAAGATGTTTCACATCCACTTATTCGTCATCATCTCGCTAGTCACTAAGCATATATGTGATTTTCAAGTAATGGCTTTGTAGGGATATTGTTTGATTGGTTACAGGATTTTATCATGAGCTGATATCAGTTAGAGAACCATTGGAAAACCATTGGGATTAGTGGACATCTGCACCTTTCTTGTTTGGGACTTTGTAGTAGTACGCATCCATTGAGGTTCGAACCCAGGACATCCTGGTTACAAATCTAGCAAGCTCGTAGAGCATTAAGCGACTGGGGCCTGATTCATTCTCAGTGACTATTAACAACAGCATTTATTCATTGTGAACAAGATTTCATAAATTTATATTATTAGTAAGCAAAATGACTAGGAGAAAATTTTTAAAACAATCTGAATGCAGCATGGATAAAAATATGCAAATAATAATTTTAAATGGTGCTAGTTTTAAACCTGCTTACAGCAAAACATTCCCCATTTCTGATAGCAATTATAACCCCGCTGAATATTATTTTACACTTGAGAGATTTTTATGGTGTTATCAAGCATATTTTGCATAAGTGTACATTATTTTGTATAATATAACACTTAATCACTGTTTATTATTTATTAATAACAAATTATGAAGATAAGAAGCCAATTCCGACCAGTGGAGAAGTGATTACTATTGGAAAACAAACTAGTATCAAATTGAAAGTTGTCCCACAAAAAGAAGATAACGGGGCTCAATATCAGTAAGTGTTCAGCATTAAAATATTCTCTTTGGTGAAGTATAACATAAACGTAGACAACGGACAACACTGGTTGGTGACGTTTTGATTTTGTTTTTCATAAGGTGGAGAATACCTGGGTGTTTACAAGTGACTGTTGTTTGTTTTGCTTTTATTGTACTTTCACATGAGTTGTTATTCAATAATTTTATAAATAATTACACCTCAACAATAGCTCCAATGTACTGAGATGTTTTTGTTGATGTCGCCATTTTCACATGTGTTATTCTAAAACAATAAAACCAAAACACATAAACAATGAATTGATAAAGAATTAAAGGTGAATACAATAACATGAGGCTAAGTCTCTGTGTTACGTCATATAGTACGTAAAGCCAGTGTGAAGGTGAATAAAATTTATTCAACGAAAGAGTAAACAATGAACCATAAAAGTTAAATTCAAATTCAAATACAATAAGAAAAAGGTTTTGCAGGACTTAAACCATTTGTAAACAATGCTGTGCATAACTTCAATGCAGAGATATGCACATAATATAAAAAACCAAGAACTCATAACATCATCACATAATGGAAGGAACTCAGTTCGCAGTCAGGACACTGAAATCAGCTAGGTCTTCGTCACTTCTACTGCAACGTACCTGGAAAGATGAAACATTTATTTCCTGATACAAGCAATAAATGCGAATAAAACAGGATTTAATGAATTCATAAAATTTCAGTCGAACACTTTAGATAAATATTCTACATTTAGCATTATGTATACCGTGAGACATGAATAAATGTGTGACTAACAAATAAATCATGATGAAACGTCATATATTTATTCCCCTTTATGATTTTGAATAAAGCAAGTACAACAGTTTGTGCAGAACAAAATGATACCATCATCTCTTATTTCGTTGGTCTGTCATCAGCTGCTTGCAGACCAAAGACATTGTATCTAAAGTATATCTACAGAAACAGTTTTAACATAATTGCACAGAGTTCATTTTTAAACAAAAAATCAATATACACTTACAATGCTTATAACAATCAGACACAATGGAATCTGCCAGCGTTATGCAAATAGGTGAACATGTACCAAAAAGCCTACATTTCAAGGGAATAAATGCTTTCAACAGTGCCGTCGCCAGGCATCTTCTTGACACGGGCCATGAGGTAGACGTCAATAGGCGAAATAGTTCACTTCACCTTAAGTTTACCGAAACTATCTCCATCAAGCGAGTGAAATCCGATTTACGCATTCAGAAAGAAGCGAATATTACTCTTTCTTTACCCTGGTAACTGGATGTTTTCATTCTCTTTATCATCTGATTACATTTTCCCAAAAGATCCCACTGTGTGTGATTATTATTGTTGTTTGGGATAAAGTCATTATTATTAGCATTGTATGCATATATTGATTATTTTTGTTTAGAAATGAACTCTGTTCAGGTGTATAAAATTGTTTCTGTAGATATACTGTAGATATAATGTCTCTGGACTGTAAGCAGCTGATGAGGGGCTAACGAAATAAATAATGATACCATTTTATTCTACACAAATTGTTATTTTTGCTTTATTCAAAATCACCATGAATTAATCATCATAAAACGCAAGGTGAAAATGTCTTTCATATGAAGTTCAGACGGATAAACGACGGAAAGTATTTGAATTAAATGACAAGACGTCAAGGAAACCATTATGTTTTTGTTTTACATTCATTGGGTAATACAAAAAGAATTTCTTATCATAATACAAAAGTGGATGTGATACAGAAGACTGAAAATAAAGATTGTAATGGATTACAGTTTAATTATATCTCTCTAATAGACGATTAGTTATCAGCGAGGTAATTCGAAAACATTAACAGTTGCAAGATGAGCAGTAATCATAGTATCAGTAGTGAACCAGGTTAAGATAGTGATACTGACGGAATAGTTTTAACCAAGATAAAAGTGGTAATGGTCATCATAATAGATAAAATAATATGTCACTAACAGTTTACAAATAAAGAGATTTTCAAGAATTGTTTTGCAGGGATTTGATTGACTTCAAGACTGACCACTAAATAACTTCAGTCAGATAACCACTGAAATCCAGGGAGTACTGGATAGCTGTTCCTTTCTTGTTTAAGACTACTGAGTAGTCCGCACCCATGATCCCACTAGGGATTGCACTCGGAACCTTCAGGTATCAAGACAAACTTGTAGACCGTTCCGTCACAAGGAGAGAATCCTATAGCCCACGAAGTCTAACTTCTGCCAATTCGTAGTATGTGGTGTGAATGCCAACCAGTTTCATCTCTGAGTATTCACCTCCACAGCCATTTTGTTTAATCTCGCGAGATAGCCAATGGGCCCGCCTTATAACCTAAAGTTCATCCGTCCGATCATTGATGAGGTCATGGATGTTTTCCATTGAAGAGTCTCAAACTAGGACAAAACAGCAGTCCAGCAAACCTTGACTCTCTGTGATTCTCTAACTGAAGTCAGCTTTGGATTAATCTTGAAAGTAAGAGATACTAGCATGATGGATCCAAAATAACTAAGAAAGAGTTTATTCAAGTTAATGAATGCCTAATTCATCATAACTACAGCTAAAATTTGATAAAAAAGCCTTGCCAGTTTCACTGAACATATTGTCATTTTTAGTAGAACGTGTCCCTAACTTACTGAATTCCAGTATATTTTGTAGCTAAGTGTTCCACAGTGTACGAATGCGGAACGTCACCAGATAAGAAAATACGCAGTTACTTCTAACAAAACAATAAATAATGCCTTTAGATAAAGCGTGTAATGTATTTGCGCAACACATTTCGAACAATCTGATCACAAACGGACTCGTCATAGGAATATATATGAAATTATTAGAGAGTTAAGAGGTGAGAAAATAGACTTAGGTCAATTTAAAAGGACATATTCAAGGTCAAAATAACAATGAAGACCACTAAACTAAATAGCAGCGGTGCAGAAGTGCTATGGTATCAAAACAAAATTCACCAAGGAAGGTTTAGTGGGATGATGAATTGATTTTAAACGTGTAAAAGTGGTTTAAACTTCCTAATCGCCAGCCAGGGCTTCCACAAACTTTAGGATACGCCCCGAACACGTTTTATAGATAGGTTTAAAAGACATGTAAACATCAATTTTATGTCCTGTCTCAATGACAGTCTTCACAATAAAGGAGCCAAGTCTCTTGTTCTCTTATTATATATATATATATATATATATATATATATATATATATATATATATATATATAAGTAACCTTAGTACTATACTTCCTATGTCAATTTCACACCTAGATTTGTTTCAGTAATTCCATTTTATCAAACGCTTGTCAATTATACAGGCAACTAACTAAAATTTGTGTAAAATGAGATAGATAACATTAATAAGCTTTAACATGCTTTTAGTAGTGAATAAATATTTAGATAAATGAACCCTTTCATTAGGTTGGTATTAAATTTAAATTTTCCGGACAAAATGATTGATTACTACATCCACTGAAGAGACTACAAAGTTGCAACATCTAATGTGTTATTTCCGGACATCCTTTATTTTTTGGTTACAATCATCAAATGAAAGTAAAATTATTTGGCTGAATAAAAGACTTTACAGTGTACAAATTTATATGCATACTTGCATGTAAATACATTAGCGCTAGATTATGTCTCCCCTGATTATTTGGCATCGATAACTTCAAACTTTTGAGTTGCTGAAAGTTATGTTTCCTCTTGAAATCTTGACGATAAAATACTTTGAATTAACCTCCGATTCGCCCTTACATTAGGATACACGATGCAAATAAAAATATAACAGTCACATTAAGGATAGCTAAAAAATAAATTATTTGAATAGTCGGAGGATTTCATCATGAGAACCATTGAAAAACCTGGGAGTACTGGACAGTTATTTTGTCCTAGTTAGGACTGGCTCTTAGGGAGTACTCATCCACCGGGGTTCAAACCCACGATCTCCTGGTTTAAAGGCGAGCTCGTAGACAATTAAGACACTCGAACCTGATTCCCACTAGCGACTGATCCTATTCAGGGGATCTAGTGGGAAGCCCTGACCAGTAGGATACAGCAGATTGAGGGTGAGGCAGTAACTCATCAAAGAATACTTTACTGAGTGGTCACTCTATGTCGTGAATTGGCAGAAGTTGGAATTCATGGGTCATTAGATTGGGTCCCAGTGGCTTAGTGATATAAAAGCTCTCCTTGTAACCAGATGGTCCTAGGTCTGAACCCCGGTGTGTTCGTACTGGTGAAGAGTCCCAAACTAGGACGAAACAGCTGTCCAGTACTCCCTGCAGGTTTTCCAATGGTTCTCTTACTGATATCAGCTCATAATGAAATCCTGTAACCAATCAAAAGAAATTCCAAACAAAAACCAATACTTGAAAATTATTTGAATAGTTCCATTAAACTGATGAAGCATTAAAATGAAGAGAACAGACTACTGTAGGAAGAATTGTAATGATTAACATAAACGGGAAGTAACATAAAGTCGATTAAAACTGAACAATTACTAATGCATTTCCTGTCATCTTCACTGTTCATTTAAAATGGACAGCCCGAATATGTACAGCATAAATCAAATGCTACAATAAATATAGAAAACATTTCAAGAATGAACGCCAAGAATACAATTAATTCAGTTTGTTTTTGTAATAAAACAATTTTGTAATACATTCGTACGCATTCAATACGTATATACACATTCGAGAACGCTATCGAGATTGGCTAACAAAGGGAGGACGTATGTGTGTATATTGGTTCAGTAACGGAACATCTGCAGGACTCAGAACATACAACCCCACTTGGAAATTCCTACAAAATCCTATAAAAGTTCGAGTACACCTCTCAAACGAGGTAACATCAAGGTATCTGGGTATAACTGAGGAACTAGCGATCCAAGTTCAGTACTATGTATTCAGGAGAAATATATCCATTTTCCCTTGCCACTGCCATCCATCATAAATTGTCACTTCTCTCAATAGCGATTATTCTATTACGTTTCTTATTCAAGCTTCCTATATGTGTTTGTTATTACTGCAGTTGTACAAAAAGTCAATTTTCTCAATAATTATGATCCTACTATGTTTTTATCCACTCTTACCGTTCATTATTGTAATATTGCATTTTAATCCCGATTTGTAATCTTGTGAATTTGACCCGCCACCGAAGATAGCTCAGGAACTTTCTCATTCATTAACTATATTAATACGAATGCACAACCTAGTTGATAGCTTCGTCTAAAAGAAAATATTCTACGTTGCAACTATCTTTATATTTTTTCCTATCATCGAATGTCTATATCCCATGATACTTTTGTTTGTCGATAACGAAATACAGAAATAACAAATAAACTTTCTATGTTCTGAGACACTGTTTGATGATGAGCCTTTTAAGATACACTTTGTTAACATTGCTTGTACTTAATCGGGTAAGAATTGATGGTCATATCGATAAGTCATAAAATCCTAAAAAAAAAAATAAAATTCCCTCACCTATATATGGTAAGGTACATTCTTGTAACACGATATTATCTCCTTCAAACAACAACATGATCATCTGAAATGTCAGTGACGAATAACATCCTTTGGTTAAAAAAGACAAGAGGAGTGATCCAAAGCAACATTTGTTTGATGGGAGAGGGTACTTTGGTAGCCCAAAGTTCAACAAGGCCACTGGTATTTCATTCACTTCATCTAAATCATTCTGACAGTTTCCCAATTCATTTACATAATTAATATAAGAATAAGAAACAAATTCGACCTATACTCACCCATTTGTCATCCTCTTCTTCCTCAACACCATATAATATAAGAGCATGGGAACCCTCTATTTTTACACATCGATTATTTTTAAGTATGCATTAATCAAACTGATGATAACAGGAAGATCAACTTTAAAGTTTTAACGCGAATTCATCATTCCTTGTTTCAAATATACTGGGCAGCCTGAATAACTAGATACTAGTGAACTAAAGCTGTTTTATTGGTTACAGGATTTCACCATGAGCTGGAATCTGTTAGAGGACCATTGGAAAAACTGTGAGTAGTGGGCAACTGTGCCTTTCTTGACTGTGACTCTTCAGTAGTACGCACCAACCGGGTTAGAACCCAGGACCTTCTGTTTACAAGGATGGCGAGCTTTTAGACCATTAAGCCACTGGGACCCCATCCAGTGGCCCATGAATATCAACTTCTGCCAACACATAACATAGGGCGACCACTAGCCAAAGTCTTCGGCGAGTATTTGTCCTCACACCCGACTTGGTGTACCCTACTGGTCACGACTTCCCACTAGAATCTCAGGTAACTAACTACCCATCTCAATACAGCCAGGCACTAGTGAGCCTCTCATTGATTTTCAAGTATCAAATCTGTACAAACCAAAAATTAAAGCTGTTTTAATCAGGATATAATGGAAAACAATGCGCAATGAAATTTTCAAGGTGTGAAGCCAACAATGACTTATATTCACCGTAGTGCTGAGATAAATCCCTCTTTTGTTACTCCAAACACAGTTCATTAGTTCACTACATTATAATGTCTTAAGATTTCACTTAAAGTGACAGTAAAAAATACTTTCCAGTGAACTGCATCAAAAATTATCAAGTGAATTTTCGATGTAAGTGAGTGGTTAAAGAGATTAGGCGAAAATTCAGTCATGAAACTTTGATATAACTTCAAAGTAAGCAGTAAATTATGTTAACTTCTCATTACAAGATGTTATAAAATACTGGTGTTATCATTTAAGCCTTTCCGCACTATACATACGTTTCCTGATTTAGTGTAACCGAGGTCTGGAAATTAAGCTACTTCAAAATACAATCACATATGTCCATCCATAGACCAATAGATCTTGTATGAAAATTCCAAAGACTATAGGAAACAAATTTATGTATACGGAATTTTCTCATATCCTGTCATAGGACACTTTACTGTAAATTTGTTCAGTTTTCCCCCACTATACGTATATCCAGTGCTTTTTCAGATTGCTTCACTCTCTAAACTTCCCATTAAACTTAAATCACCAGGTCTTTAAAATGTTAAGCATTCCTCCAAAACAGTAGTCCATTTGAATTATATAAACAATTATTGGTGATAAATTGCCCACAAATTCTCTTCTTTTTTACTCGTTCTTTGTTTACAGATGCTTAGCTAGAAATACAGCTACAAATGATGAATGGATAAGTAGTGAGCCAGTTGTTCTGAATGTTTTATTTCCACCACAACGTGTAAGCCTGAGTTTTGGGAGTAAATCAGTAGTTCATAGTGGTGAACAGTTGGTTATTAATTGTCAGGCGGATAGTTCTAATCCAGTTGCAGTTATTACCTGGCGTCATTATCAATGTGGACCAGCACATGCATTTTATCGTCGTCATTTATTGCAACAGCAACAACAACAGCAACATCAACAAAAGTTAACAAATGCTATCAGTACCAGTGATGGTGAAAAGTGTAAATTATTAGAATTGAAAGGTAAACGTTTTTCATGTTCAATAAAAAAGTGTGTTAATATTTTTATATAACTCTTTTGCATATGGATAGTGAAATTCTTAAACAATGATAGTTTATAATGTGATTTGTTGATAATCAAAGTTTAACTGGTTGGAACGGTTATTTAGTTTAAACGAATAAGAATCCAAGAATTGTGAGACGCTTCTGAAGTCTTACAATTTCGTTTCTTCGGCTTTCCATCAGCTCCGTATGGACTGAAGAAATTGTTAAGTCTATGTACAGAACAATTTTAAAATGCTTTCAAATGTTACATAATTTCAGTGGACATGAGATCCAAAACTTAATCAACAGTGATCAGGATCTACACCTATGTAGCCTATAAGAATGAAGTCCAGATTTAATAAAAAAAATTGGATAATTGCTTGAATACAATAGCAAACATGTACGAAACTGCATACTTCCTAAGAAAACGGAGGCTTACAGTAGTGCTGTCTCCAGACACCTCGTCAATACGGGTCATGAGGTGGAAATGATGAAATTCTTTAAGAGTATCAATAGACAGAATACTTCAGTTCTGCCCAGGTTTGTCAATGCAGTGGCTATCAAACTCCTGAAACCCAATTCGTGCGTTCAGAAAGAAGTGGTTGTCAGTTTTTCTTTCACCCTTGCAATTGGATGTCTTTAGTCTCTCCTTCATTTTATTACATAATCTTTGTCTCTAACCCCCCTCCCTTCGTCATAGCCTAACTTTGATTGTCTCCCGTCACTATGATTTGAGCTGAACACACTACACTGTTACTCAGCTCATTAGCTATTCATCATCATATTCAACTCTTATCTCTATTACATAATTCCTTCACCATTGTATCCAAGCATTTGTTTTCCTTGTTTAACGTTGAACTTTCTGGGTATGAACAAAATTAGTGAAATTTCTGACCACTGTTTATTAAGTTTAGAGTCTCCTGCCACCTAACATTATGTACCACGTGCAAGTATATTAAAATTCTACTGTACATACACTTAGCAAAAATGATTGTACCAATGTACTCTGCACAAACTCTTGTTCTTGCTTCATTCAAATTCATAAAGGAGAATAAGTGTAAGGAACCTTATTGCTATTCTGTATTCAAACATAATGATATTCAGGCGACTGCCACATTACTAGACTCGACTAAATAATTATACCGTACATAAAAGAATAGCTTGATAATGTTTATTTAGCTGTTTGCGGCTCTTTTATAAAGGTGAACACTGTAAATCAGACAAAGTGAGAGACAATTCTAAGATGTGTAAAAAGTTTTCGTATGATAAAAAGGCATTAAAACCGGACTACAATTAGACATCTGGTGACCGCCTATTAAAATCCGGAGTGAAGTTTATCAAAACATGGATTGTGATATGGTACATATGTGTTATGCAAACAAACACCTGTTTGCAATTTGTATTTCTTCACAGTGATAACAAAAGTGTATATCGAATACACCACACTCTGTAGGTGATATTTTTGCATTAGGAGTATCTGGTAAACTTAGGTAGGACAATTATGGATGTAATTTATTTTGATAAAGTCTCACAATGTTGTACATTGATATTTACTGATGATTACGTTTCGAGAACAATTTATTACTGCTCATAGCCATATCAAGGTACTCACCCACCAAAATTTCTTGCTTCATTTATATACATGAGTAAAAATTGATTCGACATTTGAATAAAATCAAACCGACAAACTCACTCAAAGACAAGCTCTGTAGGCTAAAAGACCCGGTGTACCCAATTAAACAAAATATAAAGTTTACAAAGTACCTTGCCATGACTGTTACAAGAACTGAACCAACAAAGATAAGTAATCTAGGGAAAAACTCAGCCATCGCACTGCATGCATTAACACACAACCTTACAATAGGGTACATGGGACAGAGTCAAAATTCTGAAAGTAACCTGGGTAGACGGAGAGAGATTGATTACTGAATTCTGGTTTATCGAGTCTACACGCAGCACATGCAATAGAAGTAACTCGGCGCGAATACCAGAGATATGGAAGATATTGTTACTAGTCAAATCAGAGGATACTAAATAATGTTAAAATGTATTCAATTCACATTATAACATTTTAACAAGTTATTTATTTTACTATAAAAACATCTTATTTCCCATCTTATTGCATTCTATTGATAACACTATTATTATTTCCGAATTAAATGGTTAGGGGCAATCAGCTACAGAAAGCCTCGGACCTATGTTTCGTGCTAGTTGGTACTCACCAGTCAGCAAGGCGTATCTGCAACCTTGAAGGAACTCATGTCCTTTCTGAGATTCGAACCCGCGTCACCCAGTGCTGCAGTCAGAGACGTTACCACTGAGTTATTCAGGCTCGCGATTGAGCTCCTGTAGGACTGTATTGGATACTTTTGATCGCACACTAGTCAGTAACTAGTGTAATGTGTCTAGTCCTATCTTCGCTGCTGACTGAATTCTATCAGTCAAGCTTGCAATGAGGCCACCACGCTAGGTGGCTCGCCATTACGGTTCACTGTGAATTGTTGGTAGTAGATGGTTGGAGGCAATCGGCAGGAAGCCTTGGACCTAGGTTTCGTGCCGATTGCCTCCAATCATCTAATACCAACAATTCACAGTGAACCGTAATGGCCAGCCACCTAGCGTGGTTGCCTCATTGCAAGCTTGACTGATAGAATTCAGTCAGCAGCGAAGATAGGACTAGACACATTACACTAGTTACTGACTAGTGTGCGATCAAAAATTATTTCCGAATATACTTTATCTTATACTGATTTTATTCAAATGTCGAATCAATCCTTACTCATGTATATAAATGAAGCGAGAAAGTTTTGTGAGTGAGTAGCTTGATATGGTTATGAGCAGTAATCAATTGGGCTCACAATAGCTGCAGATTTAAATATCAAAACAAATAACAGAATAACCTGCACTATTTGAACCTTTGGTTAAGGCGATAGCGTATGTCTGAGGACTTTCGACTTAAACAGCATGTTATAGGGGTTCATAAGCGTTTCTTAGAGAAATATCTTGGGTTTTCATAAATACCACCTATGTACATACTGATATACTTACACTCATTGTGCGTCGGTGGCGCAGTGGTTAGGTCTCGCCGACCATGCACATGGTCCGAGGTTCGATCCCCTGCCGATGCACACCTGATATCTATGGTTGGCCTGCAAAATTCGGGCTACTGATATCTATGCTGAAAATTCCATACTTGTACCAAAAATACAGTGTGGAATCAAGCTGTAATCAAAAATAAAAAATATCAAAATATAACATTGAAAAATAACTATGTCTGTACAAGACTGTCCTTTATAATTCGATGACAATAACTCAATATGAGATTATTATTTTGAAGATAAGATAGATGTCATCAGTCACTGTTTAAGTACTTGAGTCTTAATTCTGATGATAATAATAATAATTGTCATCTGCATAAGTAGTAAGGTAATTTAAGCATTTGGATAGCGTTATAAGAAGACGGTGGTTATCTGAAAAATGAGGTGTATTTGCGCACAAGTGATTGTGTCACATGCCACACTATTTACCAATTTTCATGTGTGTGTGTGGTCACACATACATAGGGAGGAGTAATCGCGCTTTGCATGTGAGGGTGAGAGAGCATATCCTAAAATGGCTAGAAAAACAAATGAACTGTGAAAAACCAATAGGTGCAGGTGTCAGACTACCAACTTCGTCTATGGCTAAACACATAATCGAGATGAACCATAAGATTGATGATAACTCAGCCTTTAAGGTCATTTATAGAAACGGTCAAGGGCGCTTATTGAAATACGCCGAGGCTATAGTTATTCACAAACTTAAGCCCCCCTTCTGTATTCAAAAACAATTTATTGTTGCTCTTAACCTACCTTGGTACTCCTTATTTGATTGGATTACCAAATCTTGTGTTGATCATTCTTAAATCCTTTTTTCTCACTGTTTAATTTAACATTTTCATATATATTGACTTGACAAGTAAGTGTGTGATCAGATTTTTCGAAATGTATGGCGCAAATACATCACATTTTTCAAATAATCTCTGTCTTCTTATAACGCTATCCAAATTTATAAAAAGGACTAATTGTTTTAAATTAAGCATATTAATTTCACTATGATCCGTGAAAGATGTGTCAAAAATAGCACATCAGTCATAGTAACAAAATCTCAACTCACATATTAGTAACAATTCATAATCTCTTGCTAAAAATATCTAATATGTGACAGGAGAAATTTTTAGCATAACTTGTGAACGCAAACAAGTTGTTTTAATATCTCTAACTAGATACTGCTTTTCAAGTGAAAAATGCTTCTATGAAATTCATTTAATGAACTATACTCAATGACATATAATATGTATTCTCATTGGACAGATATAAAATTCTAAAATGTCAATTACAGTCCCATTAGATTTGACAGAAGATTGAATTGATCAACGAGAATTCATTCATTGAAAGTCTTTCAGTTTTTCACAACACAGTGGTTTGAAATTATTGATTTTTAATAGGTTCAGACGAATCCCCAGTCCCTGGAGCATCAGGTGGTCTACAAGCAAGAAGTCATTTATGGTTACGCCCAACATGGAGATATCATATGGATTTCATTGAATGTCAGGCTGAAAATCCTGTTTACGGTCCACCGATTTGGCATGATCGCCTTCAGCTAAATGTAACTTTTGCCCCGCAATTTTATGGCCTACAAATTGGTGACCAAAGGGTAATACGAGAAGGTCAGTTTAGTTTTCATTTACACAGTATTTATTATTTTATTTTATTCCCTCACGTTTTGAGTGGGGCTTCAAACTAGAGCTTTGAAGTTTCGGCAGGATTAGTTTTATTTCATGTGGTTGGATTGCTATCCCCATGCTCAAACTTCCCTCTTTACCGGCTTACTACCGGCTTAACAAAGGTATGGGGGTTCGTCAGCCGGAGATCGGACCCCTGACGTTTAGTGTGGTTGACGAGTGATCTAAGGCTGAACCACTGACGCACACAAAGTGCTTGAACATTTGATTATTTATTGGACAAAAAGGTTGATTATTTTTATTACTACTACTATTGCAAATAGTATTTCTTTTTTATCTAAATATGTGCGTAATCAGTGAAAGATGATCTACTCAAACTTCTGGGATTCGAAATTCTGAAATTAATTATCGCCTCAAAATTTACTTCAGCTTGATGCCATGTATATTTCGTAAGGAATAGAATTACGACTAGTGATTTGCTGTCTGGTTTATACGATACAACTTTCGACCTCTTTCCCAAAAGTAGACATTAAGGAAATTATATGCTGAATAACGATTATTGTTAAGAACTAATCTATTTAGAAAATAATTACTCACTAATATCATAACACCACTTGCTAGCAAGTGGTATTAGCATTCTCTGTTGGGCTTATATTCCGCAAAAGAAAGAAACTCGCACCAGCCATTAAGTCAATAAGATGTATTTCTTCTGAGATTGGTGACCATATTATGTACCTGGCTAGTAGAACTGATTTAATTCTAAGAAACCGAAAAGGATGATATTAGCTATTACTCAGCGAACAATCCAGTGACTTTCAATTTATTTGCTGTTGAAATTAAAGGCCAAAAAAATGTTAATTACATTTCACCTGCAGTTGAGGAGTGCAAACAGTTAGGTAAACATGTACTTCTCTACCTTCACTGTCCAAAAGGGGTGAACTATTTCACGTTTGGTGACGGACTGATATAGATCAGATAATCACTGAAAGCCAGGGAATACTCAACAGATGTTTCGTCCCAGTCTGAGACCCTTCAGAATTATTCACCCAACTATGACACGACTCAGCGACAAAAGAATTCTAACTCCCGATAATTAATGATTTTAGCATGACCACCAGCAAATGTCATCGGCGAATATTTGTCCTCAAGCCCAACCTGGTGAAACCCAATAGTTACGACTTCTCACCAAAACTCTAGGAAACTTCAAACTGTGCCCATTGACTAGTAAACATCAAATTACTACTCAAGAGTTAGTTTATATGGATTTGATTTGTTTCATGTTTGACTGCAGATTGATGTCGATTAAAGAACTACTAAAAAAACAGAGAGTACTGTACAGCTTTTCCGTCCTACTTTGGACCCTTCAATGGCACACACATACCAGTGATTTATTTCATCTTTTTGCAGTCCGAGTAGAAGTTGGGGCTTCAAGATTTGAAGTTACAGTGTTGTCTCTACGGGGTGAGGTTGCTAGCCCCACGTTCAACCACCCCTATCTTTTCTCTACCTACTGCTGGATGATAAACTAGACGAGGTTGAAAGTGCGCTGCCTTAATATTCAACAGAGACCTCCTTTGTGGCTGGAAAACACTTTACCAGCGAACCAAAATCGGTGAAGATAACATTTGTTATTTTCAACTGAAAATATCATAAGCATTTGTTCTTAATGCATTTAAATACACAAGATTTACTTTAAAATAACCAACACTAATAACACTGAACTCAGATGGTGACAAATTTTAATAACATTATTTTTCGATTACTCTATTCTATGAGGTCATAAAAGGTGACTTAATAATTCAATTAGGCAGACATCAATGTTTTTCTTCACCCTCCATTAATACACTTTTCTATTCTTCCTCTACTTACCTTAAACTAAAGCCAGCAAAAAATAAACCTTAGGGTGCCTATGCTATTAGTAAAAATCGAAACACTTACATTTTCACGTCCGAATTCCTCGAAACTGACATCATAATGTTAACAGTTTCATATATAAACAGCTTGATTATTGCTTTATGTCATTATCACTTAGACGATAATCTTACTTTTCTCATCTGAGTCTTTTTCAATGTAGGTTGAATGCAGCAAGTTAAATTTGCGAGGCTTAGCAAAACTACAAACTGTTCTTACTTATCATTCGGATTCATTAATTTTTTTTTGTTGAACAGTAGCAAAAGAGTAAGCAGGTTTTAGTAGGAAATGACGACCTTAGGATAAGTAATATATCCAGTGGTAGAGGCCAGTACTGAAGAAGGTTAGATTAGTTGTCGTCATGATAACTTCGAGATTTATTTGTACGTGTTGATGGCAGGTTTATATGTTAAGTTTTCTGAGTCCACTTACTAAATCACATTTAATTTGTAACAATAAACAAAACACCATATAGTGGTTTCCGATTTAGTTCACTAATCAAGCTGTTAATCAGTCAGTAGCCCATTAGCAAGTGCCATGGACCCATCCAAATGAAGTGTACACTCAAAGTGTGCATTCTGTTGCAATAATGACCATTCGACTATTATTTTATAAAATTCATGTACGAATTCCATGAATGGAACACTCCTTTTTTTCGATTATTACAATCGTTATGTCTTAGCCAGCTTCAAGGGAACTACTAGTTTACTCCAACTGCTTTCTTAGTAAAGCTTTCGCTCTTTCAAACCTCTAAAAGCATAATTATTGTTTCAGGTTTAAACACGGATTTATATTAATTAAAGGACTATTGAAAACTAGGGAGTACTAGACAGCTGTTTCGTCCTTATGACTGGTTAGTCTTGAATTCTAACCCTACTCAGTGCATACTGTCTGTGAGTCTCAAGTGTGAATAAACAGTTGTCCAATGCTCCCTGGTTTTCAGTGGCTTTCTAAATGATATCAATCTTTCATACATTTATTCCACTTTATTAATTTGAATAACAGTTTGAGCGCAATAAATTACCAATCCGTGGTCAAATATGAAACAAATCAAATCCCTACAAGCTAACTCTTGAGAAATGCTCGCCAGTGACTGGCAGCGTTGTCTGGATTTCTAGTGAGAAGTCGTGATCAGTGGAGACCACCATATGAGACATCAGGACAAATACTCGCTGATGACATTGGTTAGTGGCCACCATAAAATCAAAAGTCGAAAGAAGTTGAGATTCGTGGGCCATTAGAGTGAGTCCAAATGTCTGAGAGGTCTATGAGCTTGCCCCTTTAACGTGGAGGTCCTGAGTTTGAACCCAGGCAGGGGTGTGCCTATGAAGAGTCTCAAACTAGCACGAAACAAATGTCTAGTATTCCCTAGTTTCCAATGGTTCTCTAATTTTTAGTTACGCTCACTATCCGTATAGTAATGACGCGCCTATAGGTTTGAATTAATACGCAAACTAAAGTCCCCATCAAAACACTTCGCTGCCATTATGTAATAGTTTCATGAATGTCACCCAATACCCTCGTAGTTTGTGCTGTTGAAAAGACACTCCGTTCATCTAAGTTGAATAAAGGCTAAATTTGAATGGGTTTACATAATTTTATTGGTTTTATGACCGTAAGAGCTGTTTTTTTAAAGACAATATACTGCATTAAGTAAGTCCAGAAAGTAACTTCCAGTGAATTTACGTCCCATTAATTCCCATCCGAAATGCTTTATTGATCATTGAATAAAACCTTCTTCATGCCAAATACTTAGTTTTACATCGACCTTCATAATTCCCTTAAGTCTTTCTTATTGAGAATCATATTTATTTAATGATACTTTCCATTCGCTTTTTGCTCCATTAAACATGTGAAGAATGTACTTAACTCTATAAGTTAAGAGAAATTTTTAATTTATTGAGCTACAAAACTGTACAAATACAAAAATTTCTTCGGATAACTATTTTTCTCCTCAATTTAATATTTGATTGTCACTCGTGACAAACGGTAAAATAAGTGTATATAATGTGCTACATTTCAATAAGAAAAGAAGAGCCAAGGAACAGCAGAATCACCAGTTATGTGAATACTCTGTCAACTATTTTCATGTTAGTGAATGAAAAATTCCCATATTGAAATCAAAACAACATTTTGAGCGAACAATTGTGGTTTCGATAACTTCTTCTTCAGGCTCTACAGTTATAAATCCATGAATAATAGAGTACATACAGCCAATAAAGGCAAATGAAAATAACATCAGAAACTGTATTGAGGTTCATGTGTAAGTTGAGATGACAGTTCATTAGTTAGCATAGTCAATTAAATGTGTAAAAGGTGTTTAGTCAGAAAAAATGTGATGAAGTGTGAATGAACAATTTGGTGATATAGTGTTGTTTTATAGTTAAGAGAATAATAATAATAATCACTTTATTCCACAACAATAACAATTTACAGCATGGAATTTTCAGCGTTTCTTTTACATATTGCAATGGTTTAGCTCTGTTTATAATTATATAAATGTATAAAATGTTAAAATATTGATAGTTAATAGGAAAAAACAAAACAAATAAAAAAAAACCCAACAAAATCACACCATTTCTAGGTCATAGTGAATAATAAATAAATAATATAACAAATAACACATGCATAATAATATGCATCATTACATTTTATAGATTAGTTAATGATTTAAAAGTTGTAAAAGTTCTTTTCTGATATTTGTCTCTTCACACAATACTCGTGCCAAATATGGTACGGTCGAATTTTTCTATTTTGTAGTACGAGCATAAATGTTTATGAAATTTCTTCTGGTCTTACCCGAAGAGATACAAGGAAACAATTGTGAATAAAGAGGATGTTCACTATCAGATAAGATAACTTTAGCTAAGTGTTTACAAGAATTCATATGCCTATTGACAACAGTGTCATTTAGTTGAGTCAAAGGGATAGCACTGACCCTACTTACAGCCTTCAATGTTCTTCGTAGTATTATATGGTCTTTCTTGAGTAGCCCAGGGAAGAATAATGGAGAACAATAAAGAATGATGGGCAAAACACATGAATTAATAAATTGTTTGAGAAGAGATTGGGTT